TTTTTCTACTGCTTTCGGTATAATAGTGAAGTGAAGCCGACGCACCAGAACGGCTTGACAGCTCTGAAAAGACGCATAGCAGGCATGTCGCTGCAAGGTGTGACGTCAGACAAAAGTTGAGACTTATCGGGAGTGATAAGGGCTAAATTTTTTCGACTGCTTTCAGTCATTTAGTCAGGTGAAGCTGACCCACCAGGAGAACTTTTAGCTACGAAAAGACGCATAGCAGGCTCGTCACTGCAAGGTGTGACGTCAGACAAAAGTTAAGCCTTATCAGTGGTGATAAGAGACTAAACTTTTTCGACTGCTTTCGGTCAACTATTAAAGTGAATCCAAAGCACCAGGGCAACTTTTAGCTCTGAAAGGACGCATAGCAGGCACGTCGCTGCAAGGTCTGACGTCAGACAAATGTTGAGTCTTATCGGGGGTGACAAGAGCCTAATATTTCCCGGCTCCTTTCGCTCAGCTAGTGAGGTGAAGCCAACGCACCATGGAAACGTTTAGTTCTAAAAGGAGGCATACCAGGCATGTCGCTGCAACGTGTGACGTCAGACAAGATGAGCTATATCGGGGTGATAACAGGCTAAACTTTTTCTACTGCTTTCGGCATATTAGTGAAGTGAAGCCGACACACCAGGACAGCTTGACAGCTCTGAAAAGACGCATAGCAGGCACGTCGCTGCAAGGTGTGACGTCAGACTAAAGTTGAGACTTATCGGTGGGGGATAAGGGCTAAATTTTTTCGACTGCTTTCAGTCATTTAGTTAGGTGAAGCCGACCCACCAGGAGAACATTTATCTATGAAAACACGCATAGCAGGCACGTCGCTGCAAGGTGTGACATCAGACAGAAGTTGAGCCTTATCGGGGGTGATAACAGCCTAAACTTTTCCGACTGCTTTCGATCAGCTAGGACGTGAAGCCAACGTATCAGGGAAAGGTTTAACTCTGGAAGGACGCATAGCAGGCACGTCTCCGCAAGGTGTGACGTCAGACAAAAGTTGAGCCTTATCGGGGTGATAAGGGCCTAAACATTTTTGACAGCTTTTGGTCAACTAGTAAGGTGAAGTCAAAGCATGAGGACAATTTTCTTTATTTTGCTCTGAAAGGACGCATAGCAAGCACGTCGCTGCAAGGTGTGACGTTAGACAAAAGTTGAGCCTTATCGGGGGTGATAAGAGCCTAAACTTTTTCGACTCCATTCGGTCAGCTAGTGAGGTGAAGCCAACGCACAAGGGGAACGTTTAGCTCTAAAAGGACGCATAGCAGGCACGTCACTTAAGACAAAAGATGAGCCTTATCAGGGCGATAAGAGCCTAAACTTTTTCGACTCCTTTCGGCCAGCTAGTGGGGTGAAGCCGACGCACCAGGAGAACTTTTGGCTCTGAAAAGACGCATAGCAGACACGTCGCTGCAAGGTGTGACGTCACACAAAAGATGAGCCTTATCAGGGTGATAAGAGGCTAAACTTTTTCACCTGCTTTCGGTAAACTAGTGAGGCGAAGCCGACCCAGCAGTAGAACTTTCAGCTCTGAAAAGACGCATAGCAGGCATGTCGCTGCAATGTGTGACGTCAGACAAAAGTTGAGCCTTATCGGGGGTGATAAGAGCCTAAACTTTTTCGACTCCTTTCTGGAAACTAGTGAGGTGCAGCCGACCCACCAGGAGAACTTTTGGCTCTGAAAAGACGCACAGCAGGCACGTCGCTGCAAGGTGTGATGTCAGACAAAAGTTGAGCCTTATCAGTGGTGATAAGAGGCTAAACTTTTTCGACTGCTTTCGGTGAATTAGTGACGTGAAGCAAACGCACCAGGGGAACTTTGTGGGGATTGTAGTAAACAACAACTTGGTGCATATATTTATTGTATGCGGTGTTACTTGAGAAGTGGAAATTGTGGAAGTACGAACTAGCACGGTACACGGTACAGAATATCGGTATCGTGTTCAACTTTTAAAGGCGAAGCTTGGGAGTCACCCATTTTTTTTTTTAATTGTTATCCAGTCTGTACCCGCTGTAATGGAATGCTGAACCGCAGGGAATGTAGATGCAGCTCTGTTTACGTTTTTTTAACCACACTGTGTTGCCAAAGAAACACACAAACAAAAAGTCGTTTTAGAATCATCTAGCTACGGCGTAACGGAACGCACTTAATCATAGAGTGATTATAAATATTGAATTATTGATTTTGTTATTAAAAATACGAACGAGCGCTATGGTGGCAAATATTTTGTTGGTTCACCTAGTTGTGATTGGCCGCTTGTTAATCGTGGTTGTTTTTATCCCTTGATTAAGAGAAGCGGCTTTTCAGCGTGGGGCTGTAGGTTCGAAACCCGGCACCATGAAGAATGTCCTTTTTACATATTGATTTACAGTGGTTCGTCTTACGTGATAGAGGGGTGGACTAGGACACACACACACAGGTTTATTTTAGTTCCTTACCCACTTCAAAATGCCATAATGCTCGATTCTTTTTACACAGAACCGAATCTAAACTACCTTCAAGGGAACTCCAAGGTGTGCCGGTTGCTGGCGCTATGAATCGTATACAGTTCATAGCGCCATATGGTCACGCAGTAAAAGAAAGAAGGTCCTCAGCGTGACGATTGGGTGTGATAAAAAGCATAATTATTGAAATAAAGCGAATCTTTCCGTACTTGCTTTCTTGTGGTTTCCAGTTTAGTGCGCCCGCTTGGTCAGTTCTTGTGCATTTCAATAAGAATATTTTAAGCTAAGGGTTCCTTTGATCCGTTTTCTTCACCGCAGTAGATGTTGAAGAGGAGTCGAAAAAAGTTGGGGCCTTTATCAACCTTGATAAAGCGTCTGCTCTCAGCAAAAGAACTATGCGTACAAGAGCATTCCGATTTAAAAGTTTCCCTGATGTGTTTGATTCACAGCAGCAGATGTCGAAAAGCAGTCGAAACAGTCGAGAACCTTATCACCCATAATAAGGTTCAGTTTTTGTCTGACGTCACAGCTTCCAGCGATGACGCTACAGCATGCGCAAAAGCCTTCTGAATTACCCTATGTGTTTGCTTCAGCGCACGAGATGTAAAAAAAAATCGATAAAGTGGAGGCCATTATCACCCATGATAAGGCTCAACATTTGTCTGACGTCACAGCCATTAGTGAAGGACTTATATGCGCGCAAGATACTTCTCAAGGTTGCTCTGATGCGTTTGATCAAGCGCAAGTCGCGTGAGAAATCAGCCGAAAAGATTGAGACCCTTATCACCCGTGGTAAGGTTCAAATTTTGTGTGACGTCACTACTTGAAGCAATGGTACTTACGCTAACATACCGTCGCGACATGTAGCGGGCGTCCCCGTTACTCGTTCAGAAAAGAACACGATGTGTGGCGTGAAGTGGAGCCACCATGAGCGAGAAGGGGAACGCGGAGTTAATGCCTCCTTTATTTATTTCAATGCCCGTGCAAACGCGCGATTCTCAATGGGGGTCCGCTTTAGTTCAGAGAGTGGTCGTGATGCGACGCTGCATAGCGCTGCTTGCGTCACACGTGCTTCCGAACGCTTTTCCTCAGAGATGCGATAAACGTGCGTCCCAATACAATATCATACGTCTTTCAAATTTGTTCCCTCGTGCTCCTCCTTCGTGACTCGAAGCAATGCCGATGCCGCATCACAGCACAGTGCATGCAATAGCGCTGCAGTGATGCTTCCCCATTGGCTGCCCGCATAGCGCCCCAAGCGGCGACACGCTATCTCAAAGCGCCGGTGAATGCAAAACGCCGCCCCACGGATCTGTACACAACTGAACAAAAAATTACGTCGGACGATTTCCGTCGTGAGGCACTGTATGAACGGTTCGCAGAGTTTTTCAAAGCACCAGGGTTTAGGGACAGGGAGGGCAAAATAGACATTAAGCGGGCAGAACCAGCTGGAAGGAGGTTATCTCATTGGTGGCTAAAGTCAAGGCACGAGTGAAAATTAAACCCTTCACTGCAAAGTACGAATCCTCAACCTCACTATTTAAAGGGGGAAAAAATGTAGTTTTTGGTTCATTATGTATTACGGCTTGGTGGCGCTAGCCACCGCTCGATCTGAAGGGTACAGCCATATCCATCCATCCATCTACCCCATGAACGCTAAGCACACGGGAAGGCTAGGAGATGGGCGAGAGCAGGAAAGGGCCAGAGGAGAGGGTGGTGAACGGCTGAATCAGGCGCGACTGACGCTGGTAAAACAGATACGCTGGCTTCATTGATTGACATTGCTCTAAGGTACTTTTGCGACCATTTGCACTGTTCTGTCATACACTATTCTAATTCGAATATATTTGAAGCTATATCAAAAAGAAAAACTTTTCTCTGAGCCTTCGATATGATATTCCACATTTAATCACACCCACCCTTTTTTATGCGGTTACACTTCTCACACATTTTTTTTACCGAAACCAGAAGTCGGTAGATGAAGCGGAAGTTTTGCGCAGGAAACGCTCTCTTCGGAGCCTTTTAGCGTTTTGCTGATCGGGGCGACAGCTGCTGCCGCCTCACACGTACATGCGACTCAAGTAACAAATCTCTGCTAGAAGCCTATAGCAGGGAGGCGCTGGCCCAACTAAGGAAGGCCTCCGAGACGAGTTCGGTCAAAAACATATGGTCGTCGGCATCCTGGACAGAACACTCCTTCGCAGAAAGTTGCTGGGAGACAGACACTTCAGCCGGGCGTTTTGGACCCGCTGAAATGTTTTACTTACCGAAACCGGACTGTGTGTAGTACGTGGCTCCACTTTACTTCTACCCTTTACCTTTACTTCTACCCTTTTTATCCCTCCTCACCCCCATTCCTTGTGAGCTCTGTGGCGGTGTCGCTCACTGAAGCAGACAATAACGGGGCTCACTTTTCTCTTCCTTAAGAATCACTCACGATTAACGCGCGTCTTCCCGCGCCACAGAGAGCCAGCCTCGAATGAATCGGGCGGTGAATGCACACAAAACCACATTTTCACATCTTTCACAGCAGCGACCACGCATCAACAGTTACGAAGGTTGCGTTTCAATACTTTATTAAAAATACTGCGAGATACAAATCGTAGTACAGCACACACACTTTTGTGCGGCGTCATTTTGAGAGAAGAGAGCACAGCGAATGAAAACAAAGAAGGAAAAAAAAATATGCAAGAGCCGAGAAAATAGACATGTAGGGGATACAAGGTTCGGTGTACGCGTGGCACGATCTGCCGAGGTCCCACGATCGTGGACGTTCGAGGCGTGACCAGGAAGGAACCTCGGGAGTGCATAGAAAAAGCGCGAGATGGATGGAGTCTACAGACAGTATGCGCGCGGCTCTACAAGAAGCTCTACGCCTATTTTGAGACGATCACACCACTACATAGCTTTGGGCGAGACTATAAAAAAAAAAAAAAGAAGCACGCATGTCACCTTTTCTTACTGCACGGGTTGAGAAGTACAAAATTAGAAAAAAAAGTACATGTAGAAACTACTCATCACTTTGCTGTTGAACACACATTCGCTACCACTCCACTTTATATGTACACAAAATAGAGTTCGTTTTCTTTGACCCCAGTTTTCCCGTTCATCTTGTCACCGGCGCCGTTAAAAGTGTAGGCGACCAGGGGGCCTTGTGCCGCGTTCGCAGGGCGAATCGTTGCTTTTCATCGCTTGCTTTTGGTTGTTGTTGCCTCGAGGCCACAGACTTTTTTTTTTTCTCTCTCTGAGCGGCGAGGCGCCGCCTTCACGTCCCGACGTGGGAGCGTTCCGCGACTTCGTCACCTCCCCGAAAAAGGGGGGCATCGGAGCCTCGCAGGACCGCCATTAAAGTTCCTCGTCTGTTTGTCTTTTAGGAAAACACGCTCGTTACTGGACTTTCAGTGAATGTTTTTTTTTTTTTTTTGCTGTCGCAAAACACACAGAAAGTGCGGCTCGTACACATTACTCGGACCACACCTACGGGTACGCGACCCCTTTCGCAAAAAACAAACAAAAAAAAACAAAAAATACCACCCTCGTAGGTGTGACGACTTATCGCACGATCCTCCTGATACCCCGCGAAAAGGGCTATAGAGACACGAGACGTGTGTATATTATAAGCGCACGATGCTCTGGAAAGTTTTGTTCCAGCTGTCCCCGCGAAAGACCCCACCGCAGACAAGGACGGCATTAAAAAAAAAAAAAAAGGCTGGCTAAAGCTACAACACGCTGACGGTGCCAAGCAGCCGCCGACCGGATCTCTGGCCCCTCGCTGCCTCGCTGAGTAGAGAGGAAGGCGGAAAGAAGCTCGGAGGCTGCAAGTCCTCGCCGTAGCCTTTTCAGAAGCCTCCCGACGGCCTGCCCCCGGGAGCGTACTGCACGTGGCCATTGGGCGGCGAGTCCACTGGTGAAGTCGATCCATTGCTGCTGTACCCATCTGTGGAAGAGGGAAAAAAATAAAGGAACACGCGATATATATATCACGCGTTCCAGATAGAACACGGCGTGGATACGTATTACCGCATCGCAGTGCAAACTACATGACTGAGCCTCAACTATCATGCATTGTTCATTTTGTGCACCTTCATACGATGTTTACTACACAGCTAGCTGGAGTGAAAAAGTTTTAGCAAGATCTGCACGTGCTTTTCGTAGAGATGAGAATGGAAAGAAGAAGAAAATATACCGTTGCGGTGAAAGCACCTTTCCCGCTTTTTTTTTTTTAACTGTCCCTTCTCGGGCAACCGGAAAATTGATTACGGTCTCCGGTCTGGCTAAAACAACATCCCAGAATCAAGGCGACGTTTCTAGTGCAGAAAGGCGTCTCCTCCCCGTCCATGAATGACCCAAGTAAAAGGGTCACACCAAGAAATAAGTGCTATGTTTGCTCTGTGAAAAAAATTTGCTTCACTGTTACATCGACTGTGGAACATTCGATAAGCCTCGTATATTTTAACAGGCCAGATACATATGCGGAAGTTTCAGATTAAAAGGGGCGTGCCCAAACAACGTTGCGCATACGCTAAGACCCATGCTGCGTTGTACGCTATTTTATACAGTTTTTTTTAAAGGTTTCTTGGAAGGTTCGTCTCATTAATACTGTGTCCTAGATTTAAAGGACTCTCTAACATACCGTTAATATATTTTTTTACTTGTATACGACGCCCAGCAACGGCTGATAATGTTTCGTCGTGGACGGTTTGGCACGTACTTTAGTTCCGATCTCGCTGCTTATTGCATTTCTTTCAAGTGCTGCCACGTCATATTGACTCTGAGCAGCGAAGTCGTAAAATACAAAAGCGTGTAAGATCACCGTTTGGCACGTACTTTAGTTCCAATATCGCTGCTTATTGCATTTCTTTCAACTGCTGCCACGTCATATTGACTATATGAGCAGCGAAGTCGTAAAATACAAAGGCGTGTACGATCACCACATTTGGATTCAAACAAAATGCACTTATTGCCTCACGTAAGCTACGATATTTTATAAATGCAAATACTTAAGGAAGTTTAGCTGCTTCGTATTCTCAAGAGTAGAAGCGAGTGAACTTCTGCAGAACGTGTCAGGTTGAACGTTCTCTAAATATACGAATAATAGAATGTCATATATAGTTTCTTCTGCGCTGCCTCAGCTAACTTAACGATTATGACAGTTTGTTGTAATACAGTTGTAATAGTAGCGCAGTATATGTACGCACACACAATCGCAAGTGAGGTGGTCAGTAAGAAGCAGGCCGAACGAAGGGAACGAAGCATTTTGTGCAAGTGATCGCAGGTTAGTAAGCAACCGCATAGTTAGTGCCGCGTGAACAGTCAGTGCTCGAGAGCCGACATGATCTGTCTTCGCACAGAAAATCAGTGAAGGCCTTCATGAACTTTTTGCGTGGTGGTGCCCTATTGAATAGGCTATAACACCACCGCTCGCTTTTTTTTTTCGCGCGTCTATTTTGCTTTTCACTTTCTCATCTTTCTTCCCCGATTTCCGAATAACCTCTCTGCCTTTCCCTCATTTTATTCTCTCTCTTGAACAATGCCTTCGTTCGCGAACATGGGAACAACGCGTGGTGCAGCGTGCGATTTGCACTTGCGTTACATCGCTATTGTGTTACTCGTATTCACATCCTCGACTTCCCCGCTATCTACCTCGATCGTCGCAAGAACAAAAAACAAAAAAAAAAGCAAAAGAAAATCGCAGTGTCACTTGTGGCTGGGGATCGATTTTACGAACCGCCTATTGCTTGGCGACATAGGGACAGTGGCTCTTTCTGCTTTTGTTGCCGCAATGAGAATAGATCGTAGATTTTGTTTCATAATTACTTTTAAATATTAAATATGACCAGTAATTCTGTGACTGGACGAAGGATTAAAAGCACAGGGACCTTGTACTCAGCCGTCTGCTCAACCAAGGGGGGGGGGAAAATGCCATTTGGGATGTTCGACTACCTAATTTATTACATGCACTTTTTGTTTTCTACTGGTATCCTTCTCCCAGTGAATCTCTTCCTTTCAGTGCAGGGTAGAGAACCGGACGCGCATTTGGAAGTCCCTGTTTTTTTTTTCACGTCACCTTCCTTCAAACTAGTGCTTGAAAAAAACTGGTGTTCAAACAGCGCAGGAAAAGCCTTGCGAGTGGATTAGCAAAACGCCTATGAATGACCGCACTAATGCTTTACTGCTAATTCAATAACAAATAAATAGTGTGAGGGGTGGAGGAGACTTGACACTATAGACTAATAGGCGTGCGTTCGAATGTCATTGTCTGCGAACGTTGCAGAGCAATTGCGAAACTGTTCAGTGATGCGTTACTTTACGCACGCATTTTCGAGGATCGTGTGTCCCGCTCGGATTACTTACTCATGCCGCCGTGGCCATTTTGCTTGACGTGGTACACGTCGCCTGTGATCGGGTTGCGGGACACTGCAAGAAAGCGTGCAAGACTCGTTGCAGCCAGGCCAGCCAAAAATAAAAATAAAATAAATAAAGCTTAGCATGCAGTTTCCATGGTATATATAATAAGCGTTGCAATGCATGCAGACTTCGCGCAGCAAATAAGTGCGTTGGAGGGCGCATACGTGATACTTGCCGTCCGTACCGTATAATGCAGTTGTTTCGCAAATATGGCTGACAACAGACTTAACAATGCTCCGTTTACGAACAGCAGAATGCGTCATTAGAGGGTTTTAGCGTAGCGTGTAACGTCGACGCATATAGGAATATTAGAGCGATGATCGTCCGCTACAATGCAGTGTCATCGAAATGCTACAAAACATTAATTGCGATGTAAGAGCTGAAGCTTGCGCGAGTTGGATCCATTACGTAGAAAGGTATTAAACATTCTGCAGAAGGAGTTGTTCCTGCTTGGGCTAGTTGGTGCCGGGTCAAATTTATGATGTACCGCGAAAATCGACACGACGGATACTAAGAACGCGCTTGTGGTGCGTCGTTCTTTTTGTCCATCGTGTCGTTTTTTGCGCTCGTTTATGAATTTGGAGGCATAAAAAAAACATGCACGATAAGGAAAAGGGACAGCATAAGTAGGGGAAAAGGTCACTGTTTGACGCTATACTAATCGTGTCCATTTTCCCTGTAGTCTGTGTGCTTCTAACACCTCGTTAATGCGATGAGCGACTATATACGTTCAATTTATTCGTCGACGCAGGCGCGAATCTGGCGCGTCGCGTCACGACAAGTGCATTTATACCAGTATTGAACGATGACATAAGAGCACAAGATATATTGCCAGGAACCTTGTGGTTCCAGTATACGTCTTTTGGTATTTCGGTGTACCACTGGGATATACTAAACGCTACGAATTGGGAACGTGTGCTTTGCGGGTGATTTTTATGTCGTGTCACTTGGTATGCCGGCAAGGATTCGACCAACCTCTACGAAAACTGACGTTTCTTCATAATTGACATTTCATGACATTTGAACTCCAGGGTTGAGGGACAGCTAAAGCGTGTGTCACTAGCTACATCTTCGATCAGTAGTCTCAGAGCGGTGTAGGAGTTGTGTAAATCTGAAAATAAGTGCTCAATAACAAATTGAATTGGCTCATGTATGCGTACGGAGTCAGTTAATTACTGTTACAGACCCGAATTACACTTTGGGCGTTGACATGATATTGCGTTGCGCGAATATGCTGCGCTGAAACGATCTGTCGGAGGTGCCTATAGGTGTTACGCACAGTATACTGCCGCGCACAAAGAATGATTTTTTATACGTTGTTGCATTCAAAACAAAAGCAGCTTGCAACATCGCAAAGATTAAAAAAATAAAGCCACACGGTACAAAGCCATACAAATGCATACAAAAGCCAACTCAAGTCGTGGCACTTGCTGCGCAGCGTGTCTAGAAGCAGTGAACGTCAACATATGTGAAAGCAAGTTCTGCCACGTGCCACGCTCCATTCATACACTTCATGCAACTTGTCGGGAAAAATGAGTAATTTCGCGTGCTTAAAAAATGAAAATAGCCTTATTGGGGAACTACACTGCAAACTAGACACGCTTGTTCGGCCTGCGTCACGACTGACGTCGTGCAACACTCGCTCATTCTGGACGAAGGCTTATAGTACGCCCTGCCTGCCCAGATGGACCCAGAATATGGGGCTATTCCAGTACAAGAATGTTACATTCAAAAATATATATACCAAGTATAAAATAATCATTTTTTTTCTGCTTCTATAAACAAATATCAAAGTGAAAGGCGTTAAAGCTGCTAATTAGTTGAGTCCTCCAATTCAAGAAATACTGCTAGAACTTCGTCCACCTATTCCAACTATAAATTGTTAACCAGCAAGTGGAACGTTCTCATCTGGACGGTATACCATGGAACTCCACGTCGTTTACATCACGTTTTACCCATTTATTTCTTTTTAAAGCTTATTACATATCAAAGAAAGCACAACGTAACCTAACGACGTATAGAGAAAGAAATCGGAAAGATACGTTCATGATGTTTGCTCGTTTTCGCCTGTACTGCCATCTCGACCCCGGTAAACTTCACTGATATGGCGACGCTATGCGCATGTTTAGGACGGTGAAATCGACCCCTCATCCCCATTTGTGGTACGAAGAATGAAAGAAATCCATACGGGTTCTCCAGAACGATTCTTAGTTGCCGAGAAATCCGCCTTTGTCCGGGGATCGAACCCGGAACCAACGCCTTTCTCCACGGGGGCGGTCACTATAAATCGAGCTAACCAGGAAGCTAGCATACGGCAGTACGCAAACAAATGACCTACTCGAAGCGCATGGTCGCTCCTGGTACAGAGCAACCACCCCGAAAAGGCCTTCGTCTCAGGTTCGATCTCCCGGACGAGGTCGAATTTCCAGGTAACAAGCTTTCTTTCAGGGCAATCCGTACGTATTTCCTTGTGGCTTTGTGATACAAGCAGGTAATTGTCTATTTCTCTTTCCTAAACATTCCACCCCCGTGGGGTATCACGCTGCTACGATTTACAATACGCAAATGTCTGTGGCAACACAGTAGCTTGATCTTGCTCTTCGCGGGTATAGCCCACTCACCGAACTTCTTGGAGGCCGACGCCGGGGCGGGGGCCTGTGGCGCGGGCGAGTCGAGCTCGCTGAAGATGTTGGACTTCATGCGGTCGACCACGCGCCGCGGGGTGGGCACGTCCTCGGCGCCGAACAGGCGCTCCTGGCTGTTGTCGCTCATGCGGCGCCGCGTGGGCGTGCTGGCGCCGCTAGAGGGCGTCGTCGGCGTCAAGTCCTCCTCGGAGGGCGTGAAGATGGACGACTGCTGGTAGTTCTTGACCCTGCGCGGAGTGCTCGGCTCGGCGCTCGCCTGCGCTTGCGGCGAGCGCACGCCGAAGATGTCGCTGTCGTCGCCGCCAGGGGGCTTGATCACCCTACGCAAAGAACCGGGAAACGGGGCGTGAACATGCATTGCAATTGTGAATAGCGTCGGAAAGAGACGAGTGGTCAAGATATAAGAGATGAGTGGTCAAGATATATATAAAGACTACAAGCCGAGTAACGCAAGACCAGCCATGCGGATTTAATAGAATTTTAGTATCGGGTACCCAAGCCAAGCTACCTGCGTGCCGAGGCTTTAGCGTTCCTTTATATTTTATACAGTCGTGGCGGCGAGCGCCAAGAAACACGAGATCGTGCGCAAGCAGGCAGCTTAAGGTAACCGGAACTAAAACTCTCCAATATATAATTGAGTGTTCAGGTCGCACTACTGGGGCATCGAAAGGCGCATTTCACGGGCACAATATTCCGTTGTTGAGGGCTCATGGCAAAACCAAATATGAACCATTATCCCAATTTTGAGGACGCAAGTCACCTACCCACTGTTGCGTCCCGCTGCCAGTGACGTCTTCGAGGCGAGCGCGATGTCGCCGCCACTCAGTTCCGCGAACGCAGCGACTGTTGAGGCTGACCATTGTGTCGCGGGACGGTGCGCTGGCGCCACGGCTGGGCCCTGCGGAATGCGGCGGCGGTTTCGGGGGACGAAAGATTCGTCGCTGCTTCTTGGAGGGATGGGTCCACCCGGAACAACTGAGCATAGAGCTGAGGGGAAGTCGGGTTCCGGGTGGACGATTCACCCCTTGATCCCCCCTCTGACTGCGGGCCGCCCCTGCCTTTCGTGAAGTGGACTGATGGACCGAGATAGAGGGAGAGGGGCGGCAACGAGAGGGATAAAAAGGACGGAGGAGACGGCGGGCGGAGAAGGGGGAACAACGATGACCAGTTAACTTTTCTTTGAATGCAAATAAATCCCTTTTTTCAAGTTTCCTAAATGGACGTCCTGCTTTCATGACCTGCCTGATCTTGGTCATCCCACCCAATCTACCCCGACGACGCTACAAACTGGTGGCAGCGGTGGGATCAAAAAAAGGCATGCAGAAAACTGCGGACGGAAGATCGACTTCTGTGGATCCGGGATCAGCAGAACGAGACCTCGTGGCTCCGGGAGGCACAACCGTCGCAGTAACGGCATGAAGTTTTGGACGACTCCAGGAAACTAAGGACGAGCAACAGAAGGCAGACCAGACGATCTGGGATCGGCGGTCCTGTGAACGTGGCTCTGGGAGACACGTCCTTCGCCAGCTCGAGGTTGGAAGTAGCTGCGGACGGAAGATCGACTTCTGCGGATCCGGGATCGGCAGAGCGAGACTTCGTGGCTCCGGGAGGCACAACCGTCGCAGTAACGACTACCGGAAACTAAGGACGAGCAGCAGAAGGCAGACCCGACGATCTGGGATCGGCGGACCTGGGAACGTGGCTCCGGGAGACACGGCCTTCGGCAGCTCGAGGTTAGGTGAGTGCTTGAGCGATCACGTTTTGCCGGACGATAAGAACAGGGTTCTATCGGGCAATTGGCTCTGAAGGGCCGCCACAAGTGTGCGGTGAATATTGCAGAAGTATTGGTTGGCTCTTGTGAAGATATGGATATCGGAGTGTTAAAGAAAGAAGAGCTGTTGCTGTTAGCAGTAGAGCTCAGCTTGGATATCAATAGCAGGTTAAGGAAGCCCGAAATTCGCAGTGCGATAATCGAAGGGGGTTTCGAGGAGGACGAGCTCAGCGAGGCCTGGGAAAAGATATGTGAGGAGAAGAAACAAAGGGAGGAAGAAAAGAGGGAAAGAGCGGAAGAGAAGGAAAGGCAGGAAAGGAGAGAACAAAGACAGGCCGAAATTGAGCTCGAGAGAATAAAGCTAGAGCAGGCGAGATTAGCACGCAGTGCAGATGCGGCGCCGCCGCATACTGAGAACCTGAAGATGACGAGTTTGCTTCAGCCGTACAAAACAGGCGAGGACATTGGTCTCTACCTGATTAATTTTGAACGGATCTGTGAGAAACATTCATTTCACCAGGACACCTGGCCAGAGCGGTTGCTTGCGTTGTTACCGGGTGAGGCCTCGCAGGTCGTGGCCAGACTGAGCGCAGCCGAGGCAGGCGTATACAGTTCAGTGAAGTCGACATTACTCGCAAAATACAGGCTCTCCACAGAGGAATTTCGGAGGAGATTTAGACGGGAAAGAAAGAAGCCTGGTGAAAGCTTTGTTGAGTTTGCGTGTAGCCTGAGTGATAATTTTTCAGAGTGGGTGAAAGGAGCAGGTGCGGATAACTTAAGTAAACTGAGGGATCTAATTTGTTTGGAGCAGTTTTATGACACCCTGCCGGATAACGTGCGCCTGTGGGTCAAGGATAGGCAGGAAGGTGTGTCTGTTAGGAGTGCAGCACAGCTTGCCGACGAGTACGTGGCCAGTCGAGGCTTCAGGACCCCGATCAACAGCGCACATCACTATCAAAGGCCTGCACCACGGCCCCAAGCTTACACTCGAGGACCGCAAAGCGCAACAAAAGAGCGAGAGGAAACTAATCAAAATTCGGCGCGTGCTGAAGGCAAGCTGAAAGAGCAGGAAAAGAACAGAAAGGAGGTCAGAAATCATTTAGAAGAGTTAGAGTCGCGAGCTAAGGCGCTATGTTTCAAGTGCAACGAAACAGGTCACTTTGCCCGAAACTGCTCAAAAGGTAGGCCAGTGTTTGCTTGCGTAAGCGATCACCCGAGTAACCTAGATCTTTTGAAACCTTACACGACAGATTTAATGGTTAATGACAAAAGGTGTAGGGTACTCAGAGACTCCGCGGCCACTATGGACGTAGTCCATCCGAACTACGTAAAAAGTGAAGACTACTTATCCGAATGCGCGTGGATAAGACAGGCCGTCAGCGAAGATTCAGTGTGTTTACCTATGGCAAAGGTACACATTCGGGGTCCTTTTGGAGCGATCGAGACAGTAGCAGCAGTCTCCCGTGGGCTACCAGAGGGCTACCCGTACCTTTTCTCGAACAGCTCGGAGTCACTACTCAACGACAGGGGGTGCACTTTTGCTGATGCCCAGGTCATGGCTTTGACGAGATCGAAAGCACGCGTATTGGCTCAGCAGCTGCGTTACGGGGAAGGGGAAGGTGCCAAAGCGAAAGAGTTAACAACTGAATCCGCAGAAGTTAAGCCCGACGAGGCACTTATCCCTATTCCTCCGACCGAAAATCCGGAAAATGGTCAGATTAAGAAGCCGATAATTGAGAAAAGAAAGAAACCTTCGAAAGGAAAAGATCATAGTTTGCAGGGGTCCGTGTTGGCCCCAATCTCGCACAGCTACGAGCGCATGCTAGGGGTTGACAGGGAAGCGTTACGGCTGTCTCAGAAAACTGACCCTAGTATAGCGGTTATGAACAACGGAAACAGTGAAGGTGTTTCGTCAAGAAACATCTCTTTCGAAGTGAGGAACGGTATCCTATATCGTAAATACCGAGATAGGCGAGGGCAGTGCTACGATCAATTGGTGGTGCCATCACCATACCGCAAGGACCTACTCAGTCTTTGTCACGATCACTCATGGGCAGGACACCTGGGCATAAATAAAACCAAGAAAAGATTGCTACAGGAATTTTATTGGCCGGGGTGTTTCAGGGACGTGCAGAATTTCGTGAAGACTTGTGACGCTTGCCAGAGAGCCGGTAGGTCTAACGACAAATGGAAGGCCCCGATGGTAAAAGTGCCCATTATTTCTGAGCCCTTCCGCAGAGTTGTTGTAGATTTGGTGGGGCCGTTGCCGAAAACAAGTGCGGGGAACAGATACATTCTCACACTATTGTGTCCTGCAACGAAGTTCCCCGAGGCGGTGCCCTTACAGGAGGCAACTTCGGTCGAGGTAGTCGATGCGTTGCTTTCTATATTTTCGCGCCTCGGTTTCCCTGCCGAAATGCAATCGGATCAGGGAACCGTTTTCACGAGTGCTCTCACGACCATGTTTCTCGAGAAATGTGGCGTTAAAATTTTGCATAGCTCGGTTTACCACCCACAAAGCAACAGTGTGGAGAGATGGCATGCTACCCTAAAAAAAGTATTGAGAGCTGTTTGCCATGAAAGGAAGTGTGATTGGGATGGTTGTTTACCGGGCACGCTATTTGCGTTGCGCACAGTGCCACACGAGGGAACCGGGTTCGCACCGGCAGAGCTGGTGTATGGCCGGAATCTTCGAGGTCCGCTGAGGCTAGTCCGCGAACTGTGGGAGGATGATCGGGGGCCTAAATGTGTGATCGAGTATGTGTTGAACCTAATGCAAAGGTTACATAAGTGTCGTGAGATCGTGAAGGGCAACCTAGAGGCGAGGCGAGACGCTTCAAAGCGCTACTATGATAGAAATGCCAGGACGCGATCATTCAACCCGGGCGACAAAGTGATGATATTGAGGCCTAATCGCCAGAATAAACTGGAAGTCCACTGGGATGGACCTGCCGAGGTTATCAGTCGCCTTTCGGAAGTAAACTACACCGTGAGATTACCTGGAAGAAAACGCGAGGACAGGGTCTACCACGTAAACCTAATGAAGCCATTTTTAGAGCGAGCAGCAATTGTTAGCATCGCCATGAATGTTTCAGAAGAGGTTTCTCTAGAGGTACCTTGTTTTCCTGGGAACACGGGCCCTAGTGTAGAAGAGATAATCGCGTGTGCAGTTAACAAAGACGAGTTGGGTACAGCTAAAGTCGAGGATCTGAAGAGCCTTATTCAGGAATATCTGGAATGTTTTGGGGAAAGGCTCGGAAGGACTCATTTGGTACAACATGATATCGAGCTGACTACAGAGGTCCCTTTTAGCTCGAAGGCGTACCGCGTGTCTCCGCGACAGCTGGACTTAATGAAGGCGGAAGTTAAAAGGATGCTTCGCCTTGGCGTGATCAAAGAAGCATATAGTGACTATTGCTCCCCTTTGATGTTGGTCGAGGTGCCGGGGAAAGAACCACGGCCATGCGTCGATTATCGCAGGTTGAATGCGATCACAAAAGACCAGGTGTACCCGTTGCCTAACATAGAGGAAAGGGTGGAGCTGGTAAG